AACATCTGTTGCCAATCCTCCTCTTTTTGCTGAGGAAGACTGGCCCTGGGCTAACATCCATGCCCATCTTCCTCCACTTTATATGGGATGCTGCCACAGCATGGCTTGACAAGTGGTGTGTCGGTGTGTGCCCGAGATCTGAACCCTGGGCTGCCGCGCACACTTAACTGCTACGCCATAGGGCTGGCCCCCGCAGGCAGCTGTTAATCCCAGGGGCTTGCCCTGCACATGCCCCTTGCATCTGATTCACTTCTCCAAGTGCTCTCTCTCTCTCCCCTCTGCCATCTCACCAGCCACCCCAACAGGTGAACAGCGCTGGGGCTTTATCCTCACCTGCCATTGAGGGCAGGGCAGCCCAGAGAGGGTCGCCCAGCTGACTGGCAGCAACCGGTCCTCCACAAACAAGACATGTCTTTAAAATTCCGCAGTTCAGCTTTAATATTCATGCAAATTTTGCATCCCACTCAATCACAGAGTCAAGCGTGCTCTAACACTAACATGATAGGTTGGTTGTTTTTGCCAGGAAGACCTGCTATGTGGGCTCTGGTGGAGTGGGGCCCACCCCTAGCCCACCACGGAGAAGGCCCCAAGAAGGCCGACATGGATCATGCCAGGGAGCCGGGATGAAAGAGGCATGATGAGACTCAGAGAGAAAGAGGGGTGCTGCAGGATGTGACTCCAGGAAGGCTAGGCTGTCACAGTGAGTTGGGGATGTGGGCTTGGAAACGGGGGCCAAGAAATAGAGATGAGGGAGGAGGGTTATTTCCCAGGGAGCTCATCTGTGTGCCCAGCACAGCACACGGCCTGGGAAGGACTCGCAGGAGGAGGCCCGGGCCTGCCCCACCCTCACCAGGATTCCCGTCTGGCAGGCACGGAGACAGAAACTGGGCACCCAAACCACCGAAAGGATGACTCACAGTGTACAAAGGTATGTGCGGGCATGAGAAAGTCCTAGATTGGGCAAAGGTACCTCACACAGGGGGCTTCAACTACCTACAGAGCATTTTATTTTATTTTTTATTGAGATTTAAAATGTTTAAATATTATCAATGTGTATTTATACTCTCCTCCACCAAGTTTTTATTTTGAAAAATTTAAAACCTGCAGACAAGTTGAAAGAATAATACAATGATAACCCCTCACCCAATTCACCAACTGTTAACATTTTTGCCATATTTGCTTTCTCTCTATATATATATATGTATTTTATTTTCTCTGGACCATTTGAGTGTAAATTACAGTCATCATGACACCTCACCCGTAAATATGTAGCTTGTAACTCCTAAGAGCAAGGGCTTTCTCCTGCCTATCCACAATGTCATGACCACACTTGGGAAATTTAACAGCGATACGATATTATTATCTATATATGCCTCATAAGCAAATTTCCCCCAGTGGTCCCAATAAGACCTCTGCAGCTAGTTTTTTTCCCTCCATTAAGGATCATACATTTCATTTAGTTGTCAGAATATTTTCTTTATTCCATATACCTGGAAGGCAGGTACACGGGTGTTGTTATATTGTTCTTTGTGCCTTTTTGTACTTCTTAACTATTTTTAATAATTTTTTAGGAACTACTTACAAAGTCGAAAGTGTGAATCAACTCAACTGGTATTTACAGATGTGAATCACCAAGAACAGTAGCTAATCCCCAGATTCTTTCTATTTGGCTCTGGGATATAACTCGTCAGTTACATCTGAACATAGGTGTGTCCCGGTCCTAGAAATTTACTTTGTGTCTTGATTGCTGTGTAATACATTTTGGGGACACCTCCCTGACTGGCCCCAACCTGCCCAGCTGGTTTCCTCCTGTTCCCTGGAGGTCATTAAGGACTGAGGTCTTTAAGGGCTTCGCTGTTTGCAGAGTAAACGGAGGGGGTTGTGATGTCAACAGAGCACAGCTCAAGTACACCAGGTGCTTAAAAAGCAAAGCTAGATCTGCCTCTGATAACCGGCTGATAAGAGGAAGTGGGGTGGACACGTTTCCTTCCTCCATCAGCTGCTGGCTCAGGCTCCTCCGAGTGAGCCCTGCCTGAGCTATTGAGGAGGGGGAAAGAAAGGAGGAGAAGGAGAGGGAAGGGAGGGAACCTTCTTTTGTTGAATCCTCGCTACCACCCTGGAAGTAGGTATTATAATCCCCATTGGACAGATGAGGAAACTGAGGCCCAAGCCCGGCGGGCAGAGTTAGCAACAGAACTGAGCAGCTGCTGGAGTGCTGAGGACTTGCGCAGAAGAGGAGATGACAGGGAGCCGAGGTCGGTCATGAAGCGAGGACGATGGGGGTGGGAGTGTAACAGGCGTGGGGCTGATGAGGTGGTGGGTGCCAGGCCTGAGCGGGGCTAAGGGTTTTGGATGCCCCCACCCTGGAACTGGAGACCATTTCCTGGTGGTGACTCTGGGGACCTTGGGAAGTGTTGGTAAGAAAGCAGGCAAATCACAGGGCTCAGCTTTGGGGAGTGTCTTGAGCAAGCTGTTTACCTCTCCCAGCCTCATTTCCCCATCTGTAGAACGGGGATAACAGAAGCCGTGCTTCCAGGTGGGCACTGTGGGGTCCAGACGAGGTGACTCACGTCTGGCACGGAGTGAGCACACAAGGAGGCTGGGTTGCACTGGTTGACACCGGCAGAGGTGGCAGGGAGGGGAGGGCTGAGGCCAAGGTGGGCCAGTGCAGGCAGGGGTGCTGGCGGGACTACTCACGTAGCCACAGGCCCGGCAGTGGTGGCGGCGGCGTGTCAGGGCGTTGAAGGGCTCCTGGCAGCGCATGCACATGGTCACCATCTTGTCCCGGATCCACTGGGGCGCCCGGAGGCCCAGCTCCTCGGACTGCAGCTGTTGGGCAGCAGGGCGGGCACGTAGTGACCTCTTCTGCCCACTCCCTGAGGCCCTGGGGCCCCTGCTGTGGCGGGGATTACGTGTGATGTGCTTTCCAGTGGTTTCCACAGGAAGCTGACCGAACAGATGAAGACTGTATGGTAGGTCAGTTACTATCATTCTTACTTTACTGTTGAGGAACCTGAGGCCCGGAGAGGTCAAGTGACTCAGCAAAGACACACAGCAAGTCAGAGTTCAGAGCTCAGATTTAAAATCAAGTCACAGGCACTCTCCCTACTTTCAAACCCAAACCTGCACTGCTCCACCCCCAGCCAGAGCTATAGAGCTGTGACATCCTCCCTAGGGACAGTTGCATGTAGAGGCTCCCAAAGGAATTTTTTGCTAATGGGGAACCTTTGGCTCTGAGTCTCTGAGCAGGGTGATGCTGTGGTCAGTGGGCTTCCTCGGCCCCTTCTAACCACTGCTGGTGGGTGACACTCGCCTGCCCTCCCCGCTGGCCTGGGTAGAGCAAAGAGGGAGCAAGCCCAAGTGAGGCTGGTGGCTCCAGGCAGGGTCGCGAAGGCTTCCTTTACCTCCCTCTCCTGGGTGTCTCCCTCAGGGCTCTGGACGGCAGCCTTGAAGGTTTCATTCCGCTTCTCGATTTGGTCAATGGCTGCTTGGCAGGCCTGGGGGGAAGGGAATGGTAGAGGGGTGGCGGGAAGGGCTTGCTCATCTGTCCATCCATCCACATGTTCAACAAACATTGCTGAAGGCCTACTGGGTGCCAGGCACTGTGTCGAAGCACACAGTGGCTGACTCAAGGGAGGAGCAACTATTACCCCAGATTACAGATGTGAAAACTAAGGCTCAGTGATGTTAGGTAGCTTGCCCCAGGCCATCCAGCTAGGCAGTAAGAAGCCACAAGATTTGAACCCAGCTCTGACTCCAAACTACCACAGAGCAACTCCTGAAGAAGAGCAGGGAGCAGAGGGGCACACACATGTGTGTACACAGGCACACACTCGCGCCCACGCACCCCTCCCTCCCGGTTGGCCTGGGTAGGCTAGGGTCATGATCCTAGGGTCCCGGGAGTGTTCTGATACCTGCATCCAGGAAATCATTTCCTCCTGGGACCTGCTTGGAAAGTGAACGCAGGTGTTGAGAGCAGCCCCTCCCGGTTTGCCCGGTTTCCCTGCCTCGCCCGGCCCCCAGGACCCCAGCACGCCTGCCTACCGGGCTTGCAGCTCCAGGGTGCGCTGCTTCCCAGACACCAGGAAGGAGTGGGGAAACTCGGCATCAGTCAGCTCCCGCACCTGCTCGGAAATAGGAGGGAGCGCGTTCAGACTTGTCGCACCCCGTCCCCCAGGCACTGTGGGGTGGAGGGAGGGGGAGGGTGCCCAAGGGACAATTCAGATGTGCAGAACAGGGGTAGGGAGCTCGTTCACCGCCTCCCTAATCCCACGGAGCCAAGCAAATGCACCTGATGCTGGGCTTCACTCTAAGCAAACAGGAACGCTCCTGGAATTTTAGCAGCTGCTAAGTTGGCCCAGGGTGAGGTAGGGGTGACAGTTGCTGACAAAGGCTTCACCAAAAATGGAAATTGGATCATAAATTGGGTTGGGGCCACAGCTTTTTTTTTTTTTTTAAAGATTTTATTTATTCAGTTTTTTCCCCCCAAAGCCCCAGTAGACAGTTGTATGTCATAGGTTCACATCCTTCTAGTTGCTGTACGTGGGACCCGGCCTCGTGTTGGAGGGAGAAGTGGTGCCTCGGGGCGCTCCCGGGATCCGAACCCGGGTCGCCAGCATCAGAGCGCGCGCACTTAACCGCCAAGCCACAGAGCCGGCCCGGGGCCACGGCTTTTTCAAGAGCAGATCTAGGGCCTAGAATAAGACCTTCTATCCCACACGGTGAATGAAGGAATTGATGGCCGGATGCACAGGCCAGAGAGATCCTGCATTTCTTGTCTTGTGCTGTCCCCTTGTGCAGAACGCCACGGGTCCTGAGCCCACTGTGAAAGCTGCCAGTCAGAGAGAGCTTCCTGTGTGCCCGCCTTGGAGCTCAGGGTCTCCGTGCGTGTTGTCATTTCATCAGCACGACTCCTGAACCCACTGATCAATCCTAACACCTCACAGCCGTCCTGTGGCTCCCGAGGGCAGGGCCTCCCCCAGCTGCAGTCTCTTTGCATGGCTGAAACTGGTCAGGCCTCCAGATTACCAACCAGTTACAAGAAATACAGGGGACTATGGGACATGTTAAATGACACCACAGGGGAGCGCCCAGCAAAATCCAGACTATAAGAAACCAGAAAAACGACCTGATCTCTTCAATCAATAAATGAGGAAAAAAGCAGGGATAGGGGGAGTGTAATGGATTAAAAGAGATGTAAAAAACACATCACAAATGATTTGAACAGATTAGCTGTGAGAAGACATTTATGAGACAGTCAGGGAGAACCAAATGATCTTAATGTTATTAAATAATCATTAATTTGTTAGGTGTGATAATGGTACTGTTATCTTTTAGGGCAAAAAAAAAAAGAGTTCTTATCTGTTACAAAGATAGACTGAGGTATTTTTACATGAAATGATGATGTGTGGGCCGGCCCCATGGCTTAGCGGTTGAGTGCGCGCGCTCCGCTACTGGCGCCCCGGGTCGGATCCCAGGCGCGCACTGACGCACCGCTTCTCCGGCCATGCTGAGGCCGCATCCCACATACAGCAACTAGAAGGATGTGCAGCTATGACATAC